ATCAGATTGAGCCTTCTCGTAGTGTTGAAACATTTGGTCTAATGTGTCTTTGTACTCACAAGCGTATTTCAGGTAGTTCATGGTGTAACGTGTTAATGGATGCACCGCACCGCTTGGAACCGGTGTTCTTCCATTATCGCTCTTGATCGAGTTCTCTAGCTCACCGAATATGGTCACTGCTGCTTCTCCTAGCCTTGTTTGAGCCAGTTTAATCTCGTGGATCAGATCTGAATCTGATTGTTCAACCGCTGGGATTAAGTCACGGAGCGTCTCGTACATGTCTAGGAACTTGAATAGTTTCTCCGATGATCGTTTCGTGAGAACCACCGCACCGGAGAAATCTAGGAACCGGATTGTTACGGCGGAGACTAAACCGGTAATGAGGCGTTTACGAATCGAGGCATGGTTTTGATCGGAGAATACAGTGTTGCAGAGAGATAACTCACCGGGGAAAAGTACGGTGGAGCAACGACGAACGATTGAGATCCATGAAGCGATTTCACCTTCTAGAGATTCCCAAGCGATTCTCTGAACGTCTTCTACATTGATCCCTTCGAATCCAACCTCCGTTAGCTCCTCCTTGAACGCGTGACGTCTCGAAATCTCATAAGACATACAACATTCTGCTTCGTAACCGGCGGAGATCATCGCTCCGGCGATTTTCCTCAACGTCGAGATTGATTCCGATGAAAAATCCGGGAAACATTCTTCTTCCTCTTCATTCTCCGGTAAAACGCACCGATCGGATTCGTGCGACTGTTTCTGATTGTTTTGATCGGAGTTTTTCCCGTCGTTGTTGTTCTTCTTCTTCTCTCTGGAACGATCTAGCAGATGACGAAACTCTTCGTCGAGAAGAGATACAGCTCGGTGTTGAACCGAACTAGCCCGGTTTAACCAAGAAGAAACCGGTGTTGAATCTAACCGAAGCTCTCTTAATTTCATGACCGATTTCGAAATCCGGTTTACGGCGTCGATGAATGCAGAGTCCTCTGATTCGTCACGGCCAAGCCCAGAAGATTCCATTTTCGAAACCAACGAATCCACCGTCTCCGGGAACGACTCCACCGCGGGAGGAATCTCTCGTAACGGATCCGCGGCGGAGGAAAGTGAATTGATGAAATCATCGACGGCTTCCATCACTTGAATAAGACTGGGCTCGGAGGAGGATTCCGATTCTGATTCCGGCGTCGTCGACGTTGCCGTTGTGGATTTTTGTTCCGATTCATCGGAATGCTGTGTATTCTCGTCGGATTTGTGAGTCTCCGATTCCGTTGCGTGATTTGCAGGTTTCTCCATTTCGCCGGGAAAATTATAAAACCCTATTTTCTAACTGA